GGGCGGGACGAGGTACAAATAAACAATAAACAATAAAGAGTTTTCAAAAATTCTACAAAATATGAATTAAGGCATTTTGTGCTTTGAAGAAGGGACACGTAAGACCTTGGTTCTGCCTTAGATGTCGTGCAGCTGTGGTGTGTTTAGTATAGACACACAACAAAAGGGTTACCGGTTTTACCCCGAGAGCAGAGGTTATCGAAACGAGACAGAACAGTGCCACTATAGGAAAAAATCCTTATTATTCGTTAGGAAATGAATCTTTAGTAAACGTATAATAAATTGGACTAAAAATAATTTTCATAACTCTAATGACCAAAAAAGATAAATAGCTTAACAAGAGAGTTGACATAGCAAAACAAGCCTATCTACTCAGATGCCGTGAGTTAATCAACACGCCAACATGGTATGTTCTTCTTCTTGACTAGTAAAGTGAAATTCAGAGTTTGTCTGCTGGAAAACAGCACTAATTTTCGCACAATCGGGGAAACTGATATTACCCAAATACCCAGTCTTACCCCACTCTCCCCAGCATTAACCCTTTCTAATTACACTAATTTTGAAAACAAAATGTTTATTAACAAAATTGTGGTGTTTTCATGTCATTTTAAAAAAATTCCTTGATTACTATCAAACAAATATTTGTTAATCAATATTTAAAAAAGAAAATCTCTTTTAATTAATGGAGAGTGTATACTTTTTGTTAAGAAAAAATATTTGAAAATTTCAAGCTTGTGTATGCTGTGAATTTTTATAAAATGTTCCTTAAAAGGAACACTTTTTGATATTACAGTTACAGTAATTCTGCTGCGCGAAGAAAGTGACCAGCGTAACGGACTTATTTTTAAGTGGAATCAAGTTGTTCCACTCGATAAATACCATTGGGGAACAAAACATATAAAGATGGTCGTTATTTCAACTTTTTTTATAAGCTTACTTATCATTTTCACCGTTATATATGATAGGTATATATTAACCGCAAAATAATGTCAAATCTCACTTAAATAAAAAAAATAAAAGTAATTTTTACAAAATTCCAGAAAAGTCATGTTTAAAATACCTTTAAGAGCAGAAAATCCTCTTGTCAAACATTATCATATTTGTTTATTATGACCAGCTCAAGTCGGATTCACTAAAATACTACCGTTATCCATCACATATGAAGAAAATATTAAATAAGATTACAGTTTAATGAGAAAGAATGTCATATTTTATCTTGTTGTGATCAACGTCGTGATGTCGTCATAGCAGAACGCAGAAACATATTTTTCACGAAAGCTCATTATGATACTCAAAGAATGAAAATAAAAAAAAGTATTGTCATTTAAAGCCCTCGCATAATCCACAACGATCCCTTAAGTAGAGGTACCAGCTTACAGCTCACTGAGACGCGAAAACCAAAAGAGATTCTGAGAAGCAAAATTTCCAATGAACTGACATTCAAGGTTTAGAAAGTTTTAAATATATGCGTTTTTTTTTTTTTTTATTCGACTTACACATGGGTAATGTTTACATCGAAGTTTCAAAATTAATAAAAGACGTTAAATGGAAAGAAAGTTATTTTTAAGTCTGTTTTCAAACTGCATTCACGACAGGTAGATACTTTATTAACGTTGCACTAGGGCTGCACAATGGGCTATTGGTGACGGTTTAGGAAACATCCGAACATCTGAGGATGGTTCGAAAGCATGCCATCGCAATTTTGATCCTCTGCAGAGGGAATGCTTTCCCTGCTTTTATAGACCGACGACCTGCACGCAAAGTCGAGCCACTTACTTTAGAGCAGTTTAACGACGACCGATACCGCGCACCCTCGGTCTCTACTCTGGCTGATGAAAGTGGTTCCCCACCCGCTGACTGACCACAGCCAGTGATGCTTGATTTCGATGTTCTACTGGGAACCATGTCTTTTCAATCAGTTCACTTCGGGACCGCATTCACGACATAAATTGTCAATGAGAACATTCAGATAATTCTTGCACACGTGGACAAATAATTTCGTCCATTAAGTTATCAATATCCCACTAAACTCATTTTTTTGTAAAGTTATGATCTGAAAAAAAACTTTTTATAGTTGGTTCAGATTAAATTGCACAAGAGCAAAATGCATTTATGCTGCGCCAAATTGAAATTAGAATTAAACAGATGTAAAAACAAAAGAGAAAAAAGGAAATAATAATTACTTTGTAAGAGCAAATACAACTATGGCAACTTCCCTGCCATAAATCCCGGACTCAAACAAAGAAGGTCCTTCTGTAGAAAATATGATATCAGAGTCTAAGTTTAAAATAATAAGAAGAATAAAAATAATTTGTGCTTGGTAGTCCTTGGTTGTCACTTGGTTGCGCAACGACATTTATCTGACCGAATTTTATGCCCGATATTTTTTTTTAGGCCGGTAGAGTTTTTCCCCTGATAACTTAATAATAAGTTTTTATGTGTTAATAAGTTTTTTTCTCCTCCGAAATGGAATAGTACCCATTATAGTTAATACAAACTAATTTCATTTGATAAACAGAACCACAAAGTTAAGTTTTCCATCAGTTTTAAACAGTTTTTTTTATCCTGAGTTTAAGTCTTAAGCCATATCCGTTTTATCAATGATATCTTCAGCTCATATGAATTTTATCATAACTTACTAAAATGAATTGAAATTTTATGATATTTAAATTAGGAGCCAATTTCGTAAGAGTCAGGAAAACATGAATACTTAACATTTTTGATTTTGTAGATATTTTAAGGATACGTTGTTCATGCAAAACTATTAAACTCGTGTTTTTTTTTTTTTTTTTTTTTTTTTTTTTTTTTTTTTTTTTTTTTTTTTTTTTTTTTNTTTTTTTTTTTTTTTTTTTTTTTCAGAAAAAAAAAATCTTGTTTAGGTGTTAAAAGCTGCAGATCTTCTAAAGTTTTTAGAAAAATTCATCGATTTTCAAATTGCTGTACTTTTTGTGAAACAAGTTAATCACGACACTCTACATTATTTTATATTCTGCTGCATTCACACTAACTATAAAAACATAAATACTTTTAATGGAGTACTCTGTACTGAAGGTCAAAGTTCATTCAATTGCCTTCGAAAGAAAGCTATATTGTGCTTTGATTATCAAAATCTACTAGTACCAACAGTGAACCACAAAGGTATATATTTCTGCAAATACATACTAATAAGTAGTACCTAAAAGATAAACATATACGTGGTATAGCATGACCTTAAAATTGATTTTAAGGCGAAAAAAAGATCGAAATTGTACACAACTTCCGAAATCATTAGGTGCATTCGCCAAAATTATACTAGTATGAAATTAACCTTAAAAGAAGCCATTGGAGCAGCAGATACAAAATAAATATTTAGACCTATGGTTGTGTTTTATGTGTACTATCTCAAAGTTCTAGAGGATCTTCAATTTCGATTTTTAAAAACTTCAAGAAATGAATTGTTTTTTCGTCGTATGCCTGTTTAGGCAGTGGGGGTGCGATTGTTCCTTTTTTTCAGTGGCGCCATCTATGGCCAGGAATTCGGCTTCTGCCATGCCATTCACACAACCACAACCCGGAAAAAGGAATTGTTTCGCAAAAATAAAAATTGCTCGTAACTAATAGCTCTGAATCAAAAATATATCCTGAAAACTTGACGAAAATCAAAGATATCAAGCAGCCAAACCTGCTCCCGAATATACCCGATTCAAAATTAATATAAAAAAAATAAAAAACTGGGTTTTAATTTGTTGTTGTTGTTGTTGTTTTCGTATGCCTATTTTAGACAGAGGGGTGCGATTGTTCTTGTTTTTCCAGTGGCGCCATCTATGACCAAGAATTCGACTTCTGCCACACCCATACGTCACACCCGTATATAGGGCGGACCCATTTATATATCCATTCATCCAGAGATCGTAATTTTGACTTGAATCATAGAATGATCGATATCCAATCCAGTACCCCCAGAGGTATTGATTTGTTATGTGAAGATGGGAGGAATTTACGACTCGACAGATTTAACGTACATCAGTCACCATTTACTACACGGGGAGACTTCTTCTGGTGGGGTTCAAACTCACAAACTCTCGAACATGGGCCCAACGTCCTACCTACAAGGTTATCCTGGCCTTGGGTTTTAATTTGAAATGTGGTTGCTAAAGCTTTTAATGTTGCAGAAATTTCAAGTCTATTTTGTTTGTATAATATTTGATTTTACTGTTTCTTTCATAGGCTATCGAGGCCTTCAAAGGACTCATCGAGCTTTGATGAAAACGCAGGCCACTCAGACTGAGCTAACATTTAAAGCCCGTTTCCTTTTACCAGCATATCTCACTCTTTCACCCAGGGCAACCATGCCTCAGTTGCTGCCAGTCAACCAATACCCACCTTGCCAAAGACCACATAGATCCAAAACAACATCTAGGCACAGAGCAGCTTCTAGCTCTGCTGGAGGTGTAAGATCAGCAAGTAAAAGCCAATCAGCGCACAATACTTTGGGCAGCGACAGTGACGACGAGGTAATGTATATAAAGTAGTTAACGAATAAATTCTTTTAAATTCTTGATGTTTAAAATTATGTTCTCAGTTAAAGTTCAGTAGCAAACATATTAGTTTACACTTTTGCTTAAGGCTGCTGCAAGTAAACCAAAATAACAGGCTTTCATATGGTAACTGCCGTAAGCAACGGCTCAATCTAACGTATATTTTAGAAAACAAAAGTCTACGGAGAAAATTAATACGTTTTTCTCTTCATTAACATAGAATGTGACTTTTCTTCAGTTTCAAAACTGATTTCAATCGTTTCGGCATACACTCTTATAAATAAAATTCTCACTTTTGGCAATTCAGCAATCCTTGAGCTGTAAAGATTCATTAATTTTGAGTATCATTTGGTCGCAAAATCACGCGACGCGAACTCTCAAATGTGAGACGAAAATGTTTCCTGAACTCGAAACCTTATCGTAGGACATTGTGGGAGATAATTAACTAGAATGACGAAACCAAAACGAAGTATATACAATTGAAAATGAAGAGACTGAGCCGAGCCGACAGGGCTATATGGTGGTTAAGGCGTTGGTTTCGAACCAGGAAAATCATGGGCCCGAATCCCGTAACGGGAATGGGTGTTATGTATATTTGTTTTATCTATTCTTCAGGGGTCTTTTAGATGATACTGATCCACCTATACGGTGACAACGATAAAGTGATTGTTAAAAATGTTAGATACATTAGACACCACGAGTTTTTTTTTTTTTTTTTAATAGAATGACAAGAAATTTGTTTAATTTTGACGAAATTTGTTTCCTTAAAGTAGTGACGATATTTATTTCGTCACTTTGTTGACATTTCTGCTCGGAGCACATACCAGGAAATGGTTTCGTTGAAAACGAAGATATTTTCGTGAAATTTAAGTATTCCTTTTTCACACAGTGTTTACAAATTCTTCATCTCTAGACCATAATGTAAGCAGTAAACAAATGAGGTACAGTTTCGCTCCACGATCCCATTCTTTTTTTCAAAATTTCAGCCGGATAAAGAGAATTTTTCTCCGACCCAAAAACAGTCACTTAGTTTTCCATAGAATATTCCTTTTTTTCCCTTTTTTAATATGTGGTAAGTATCCAAACCGTGTTAAAAATCCTCCCGTTCGGATGGAAAGTTTTCCAGTTTAACTCGTTTATCTCTAGTTTCTAGTTTATCTCTAGTTTCATTCTCTTTCTGATATTATTTTCTTGTTTTGCTCGCTATTCATTTATTCATCCAACAAGTATAATTGGTTTTACACTGTCATATAAACGTCAATAAACAATTTGTACCCCTAAACAGGTCAAATTCAAAAGTTTATACCTTGATACAACCAGTGCGGTAGCTACTGTAACTAAATAATTGATAAAAATGGGAAAAAATAAACTGAAAATTTAGCAGAAATTTCTAGAGTTCCTTTGCTATAAAGCATCTTAATAGAGCCGTGGTGGCTCAGGGGATAGAGCTCTCCCCTCCTAATGACGTGACCCGGGTTCGATCTCGGAGAAATAGATGGTTGATTCGAATTCCGTACCGACCACAGTGCTGACCTGAAATATCCTCAATGGTAGACGGATCATGGGTTAGAGTCCCCTTACCGTCAGACTAACCGTGGAAGGTTCTCGTGGTCCTCCTCTCCTTGTAAAGCAAATGCGGGTTAGTTCCATCCAAAAATCCTTAACTAAGACGATTTCTCCCAATGCTTGATCCAGGAGTTCTTCCGGATTGGATTTATAATTACAATTCTACGGAGTTAACCCTTAGTAGTCGTAAACCCAAAATTGGGCCGGCTGTTCAACGATCGATATATAAAAAAAGAAAAAAACATCTTAATAGAAGTCTATTCTATCCACATAGCTCAATATTTCTTTTTAATATCATACACTATTACTATACTGTTAATAATACTATTCTCTCTCCCTCTCTCTTCTCTGTCTCTCTTTACCTCTCTCTCTCTCTCTCTCTTCACTTTTTTTCTTTACTAACTCCTTAGTTAATGAACTTTGTAATTCACTTATAATTCAGTACTTAAACCGTATCAGAACTAGAACATTTCATTCAAGCCTTTAGAAATTCCATTTAAAGAAAGAATTTAAGGCATAAAAACTGGGAATTTAAAACCTTTTTTTTATATTTTAAAACGAGAGTAAATTACGCTTTAGCTTGTAATTCACAAGATTAAAATAACTCAGTTGTGATATTTTTCCAAATAATTTTGATTTCCCAAATGAAATGAGAAAGAAACGCTATTTTATCTAATAAAAAGGTTTTACTGAATCTGAATAAAATATATCCTTTTTATTGTGAGTAAATAAAATTTTCAAAAACCAATTTTGCATTTAGTTTAGAAAGATTTGCATTGCTCCCAAGACAATATGCTTTTATTGAACTTTACAAACTGTTATGGTTCCAGTAAGCACAGCCCTCATAAAAAATTTAGTGCTTCCTTCTCCGAATTCAATATTGTGTAGAGATAATTAAACATCGCGAAATATGTTCAATTTTAATTATTGTACAAAAGAACCTCTTAAGTTTGAAAACGGAAGCATAACAACGTGCAATATTTGTTTAAAACTAAACCTTGGTCATTAAGTTTATAAATGCATCCCTTGGGAAATAGGATATTGGTGAAATAGTTTAAATTCTTGAGAAACTTTTTTTTCTTTTTTCAATAAGGCTTTTACGAAGTACTCTTTAGAAATATTTTCTTTTAAGGATGTCGTTTCTCAATATTGAAGTACACGAAAACATTAAGATAAAAGATATGATGTAAGAAATAGTTTCATAAAATAAAAACTCTCCAATATTATCAACGAATTTCTAAAACCATGAAGTATGTTCATGTATCTTATTTCATTAAAAAAGAGTACTTTTAAAAAAAGAAAAAGAGCACAATTATTTTTGGAAGTTATCCTATAAAAAGTGTTTTGTAATACCAACCCATAGTATGTATATTTTCAAATTCTTAAATCTAAACTAGGAAGAAACAAAAACCTAGCGTTAAAGTGATAAAGAGGGGAATGAAAATTTAAAAAAAAAAAAAACAATTTGATCGTCTGATGATACAGGGAAGTTTAAAAGGCTATTATTATACATCAAAAAGTTCCTCCCAGAAATCAAATAAATTTCCGTATCTCCTGTCACATGCATCTTCCTCAATAGAATTTAATATCATTTTTTTTCTGACTAACTTAAATGACTACTTGAGACCCTAATGTATACACCACTTTTTTACCCGTGCCAAAATTCCTGATGGTTTATGTTGGTTTCAATAAGATTCTTGATGGTTCAATACATGTTTATTTTCCCCATCATACAACAATTTTCAAGAAGTTTTGATGTTTTTGGTGATCCAACAAACTCTCATTATTACAAAATGAAAAATGTTGCTTTAGTGTTATGATGGTAAACCATCATAACACTTTTGATTTTGATGTACCTCTATTATCGACCATCATATTTTGATGCAGATATTGTTTTACCATTATGATGGTAAACCGATAAGTTATGTTTATAGTTGTTGGACCAACAAAAACTTTTAAAAAATGATGAGAAATATTGTATGGCCATTTGAGGATCAATCAACAAGTTGTGTTTATTAATATTGGACTAACAACAACCATCGAAATAAGATGGAAGATGTTGTTTTAGTATTGTGATGGTTCAACCATCATGTTATGTTTATTGATATTGGATCAACAACAACCATCAAAATAAGATAGAAGATGTTGTTTTACTATTATGATGGTTCGACTATCACGTTATCTTTTTTATTATTGTTGAACAAACAGTAATTCTGAAAATAAGATGGAAGATGTTGTTTGACTATTATGGCGGTTAACTAGGAAATTATGCTTATTACTGTTGGACCAACAACAACCATCAACAAAAGATAGAAGATTTTGTGTGGCTATTTTGCTGGTCTACCTACAAGTTGCGTTTATTAATTTTGGGCCAACAACAACCATTAGAAGATGATGGAAAATGCTGTTTTTTTTCGATTATGCTGGTTCAATCAGCATATCATGTGTATTATTGTTAGACCAAAATCAAATTTCACTATATCATGAAATATGCTATTTTACTTATATGTGCACAAGTGTCACACACTCGCATGAAGTTTTACTAAAAGCTCCAAAGATATATTCATAATTAACAATGATACCAAAATTATATTGAGAAAAATTGCTGAATAAACAATAAATTCTTTATATGCCATCTCGAAACTTTAACCAAAAGGAGGTAGTGGACTCAACCAAAAACAATCTAGAACACTTATAAAGGCTGTGTGAGCATGACAGTGAGAAAGCAGTATCTTTTAATTTACTTTTATGCTACCATGGATGGTGTTTCAAAAAATTCCTTTTATCAGTTTTTAAGTGCGTCACTGAAGTGCATCATTTCTAATCAAATGCAATTAAAATTGATGTAAACCTACAACTTTTTACCCAAAAAAAAGGTAGTGCACTCAACCAAAAATAATCTGAAACACTTATAGAGGTTGGGTGAAGATGACAATGAGAAAACCGAATCTTTTATTTTACATGTTGTGGTGTTTGAAAAAATTCCTTATGTGGAGTTTTTAAGTGCGTCACTGAAGTGCATTATTCCTAATCAAATGCGAATGAATACTTTAAAAGTTTTATCTATTCTTTCTGTCATAAAATTGTCTATAAATTAAAAAAAAGTTCAAGAAGACTATTAGAACTTGAGTAGTTAGTAATTTTTTGGAGCTATGACATATTGGATTGCCTTTTTAGATTTGCAAACTTCAATTTTTTTGAGGTAACATTACGATTCTTTCGAGTTTTGCGAATTCTACCTATTTCTTACGATTCACCAGTCACATGGTCCCGAAAAAATAAATGAACCACCTAGAATAACTTTTGATCTAATGATCGGTTCTTCAAGTTCTAGGACTCAATCTTAATGATTCGAGGTAGTGATCTCAAATATGCTCATTAATTAGTGAAGACTGTATTTTAAGTTACTAAATCGCCCCCAAAAACGCACTTTCTCTAAATAAACACACCTTTTTTTCGATGGATTCGGATTTCTTTCTCCCAAAATATAGGGATAGCCGCAATCTGGGAAATATGGAAAGGGTTAAAAGTCGTGTTTTTAAGATTCGATTTCTCAGGAATTATTCGACTGACGATCTTGCTCCAATTTTATATTTTGCCATTTAAAATTACAAAAAATTTTATACCTTACAATACAAAAGTTTTTTAACTATTATTAAATAAAATAACAAAAAATAATAAATATTTACTAAAAGTTGAATCCTGCATAAATATATTCTTCGATAAACGAGTTTTATAATTGTGTGCAAAAAATTTTTAATTCGTTTAAAAAGTACTCGAGTTATGATGAAATACACAAAAAGTAAAATTAGCATTAAGAGGTTCAAACTTTGGATCCCTCTCCTTTCCAAACTATTGTAACCATATTTCCCGGATTACGGCTACCCTCCTAAGAGTTTGGGAGTTAGAAATCGGCGAATCAATCACAATGGTATTAAGAATGGCGAATCTATCATAACAGAGGGTATTTTTATTCAGAAAAAATGGCGTTTTTGTGTATGATTTCGTAACTTAAAATATCGTCTACACTTATTAGAATATAACAAATCACCCTCTTGAACCATAAAATTGCCTCCGAGAACGCAAAAATCCGATAATTAGATCAAAAGTTATTCAGGGTGGGTCATTTTTTGGTACACTGTACATTTCATACAATAAAAAAAATAATTTAATAGTGCATCTCATATTAGTTTTCTCTTAGTAAGGGTGGTCATTACTGAACATCATTGCATACAGCAGATTTTGAGGAGCACTTTCTGCTTTTAAATGTAAAACTTTTGTTGCATGAATTAAACCTCTATGATAATTTGACTGTAACTTAGGAATACATTTGAAAAGTAATTAAATAACTCCACTTTTACAAATTAATGCTTTTCTAAGTTTTGTTATTGTTTAGGTTAATTTGATTAGAACATAAATGTATCCTATAATAAAATATTTTAATTATAGTTAGTGCGAACCATAAAATGCTGAATTATACTTTTTAAGTAGGATGCTTTCACCATCATCATCCTAGTTGGCTAAACAGCCCAATGTAGGTCAAGCCTTTCTCTGAATATTTCTCCATAACGACTTCCGATTTTTCTTTGACCTCCAATTCTTTTCATTAATTGAAAGAAAATCAGACTCCACCGAATCAGCCCATCTTAACCACGACTTTCCCCGCTTGTGGGGAAAGCCGTGGTGGGTCTAAAAAGCTATATCTTTTTCTATTGTATTGTAATCACTCATTCGAATCGCATGGGCTATCCAACTTCTTCTATTTACTTTCATGCATTTAGTGATATAAGGTTATTTATAAATCTTGTACAGTTCAAAGTTAAATCTCCTTCTCACGTTATTGCTTTCATTTACAAGTAGTAACGTAGGATACTTTATTTACGTCAATTGTTGTTACTTTCAAAATTTTCAGAGGTGGTATGCTATCCATTTATGCCTGCAATTAAAAACCAAACACCACACTCATAAAGAATTGTATTTCAACATCGATAATGTAAATATTTTTGAAAGCCTGCCATTTTTTTTTTCAATTTAATCTTTAGATTTCATTGTGTCTTATTATCATTTATCTTTATTTACGGTGTAAGAAATGCTTGTATGCTCACCCTAATATGAACTTTGCAAAAAGAAGTAAATGAAAAAGTTATTCTTTCGTGCTTAATTATTATCTGCACACACTTTGTTACGATGGATTTAGTTGTCTAACAGAATGAATAAAATCTTACCTACTTTCCATCTTCGTTCATTGGCGCGTTTTGTTTGCTTCAGTTACTGCTTAATTACTATCCATTCGAATATATTATGTTTATATTATCATCCATTTTGGTTACAAATATTGAAATATAATTTATAGATATGGGATTTTTCTTTAGGACGTTTTGTTAAAACTTTTAGAAGAATATCATTATAGCACATAAGACAATCGATAAAGAAAAATCTTTTTATTTTATTACTGTATGATAGTTTAATTTCCTCATTTGCTCACACGAACTGTATCAGTTCAGCATATATCTTTCAATTTACTTTTCTTTACGCTGCGTTACTAAAACTCTCAAAGAAATATTATTAAAAGACAGTGAAAACAATAGATAGAAGCAAAAACTATTTGTCTTATTACTGTAAGATAATTTAATTTCCCGATTTACTCACACTTAGTGTATCAATTTTGCATATCTATTTCAATTTACTTCTCTTTACATTGCGTTACTAAAACTCTCAAAAAAATATTATTAAAAGACTGTGAAAACAATAGATAGAAGCAAAAACTATTTGTCTTATTATTGTAAGATAATTTAATTTCCTGATTTACTCACACTAAGTGTATCAATTTTGCATATCTATTTCAATTTACTTCTCTTTACATTGCGTTACTAAAACTCTCAAAAAAATATTACTAAAAGACTGTGAAAACAATGGATAGAAGCAAAAACTATGTATTTTATTGCTGAAAGATAATTCAATTTCCAGATTAATTCTTACTCTATTTATTTCGTATATATCTTGGAATTAACTTTTCTCTATACTGCGTTACTTTCAACGCGCAATTTATATCTGAAAAATTGAACATCAATTCTCTAATACTGGATGGAATTTGAGCTGTATATTTTTTTAACTCAAAGGTGATGGAAGTTGATTTGTCAACCAAACAACAAAGGCTGATCCGTTCCACTGCCAGTAGGGCTTCCATTCGGAGGCAGAGAGCGGTTGAAGAGGAAATTATGGTTTCTTTCAAGCCTGTACCATCTCCACCCAAAGGGAATGTTGAGGTATGCTTTAGCATATTTTCTGACCGATAATAAGTCCAAATGAATATTATTCTTTTGATAGTCGTGGCAGCAAGGAAGCTTTTTATTCGAAGACGCATTCATTTATAATAGTGATATTTAATGCTCCTTCATAACTAAATCCAAATAAAATACATGGTGTTTCAATGCGAATAAGACAACCTTGCACGAGATGCACAGGGCTCCAGGAAAACAAATAGCATTAAAAATTCCGAAATGAATCAACGCAAGCTATGATTAAACGAAGCAACAAAAAAGATTTTTAAAAAAATCGTTGCTGTTAGTATAATGTTTCTTAATAATGTTTTTCGAAGAAGAATCAAAGCAAATCATTAGAGATTTCAATAAATCATTAGATCAATAAATCATTAGAGATTTCAAAATGAATCTACGCAGTCTCTGATTCGAAGAAGCAATAAAAAAAACTGCTACTCGTTAGTATAACGTCATCTTGACAATGTTTTTCAAAACTTTTTCACCAAGAAAAGTTTTTTAAAAAAAGTTGACAATTTAAGTAACTTACACTTAAGGCAAAGCCATAATTTTGAGCTATCTATGCAATGTTGTCATAAAGAGTTATCTGGGCTTTAGAACGAACAAATATTATTAATTTTTTTAAATCACTTTTGACAATATTTTTCCATATTAATAAAAATGATAAAAAAATCTTTGAACTATCTAATATTTTTACAAAGCTCTATAATCCGAGATAATTCAACATTGGAGTAACTTTTTAAATATTAAAAAATAAAATCAAACGCTTTTAATTTTCACTAAATTGTGGCTTTTTTCATATTGACTTTCTACGCCATTTCTCAAAATCTGCGTAGAGGGCGCTGTCTGAAGATAGTCTAGGCTAATCTTGGCCTATCAGTCATGAATAGCTGTTACAATTTCACAGTAGTTATGAAAATAGCACATGATTTGCAAAAACCGTCATTAAATAATATGACAGAGCCTTCCCAAAGCTTCCTGAATGATATGTTTTTCCTAACCTAACAGTTACATATTACAAAATGTGTCTAAAATTCCAATCAGAAACAGTCAGACAAGCTTAAAAGTGACGCTGCGTGAATTGCTTTAAGTTGTTGGAGAATTTTAGGGTGTATCGCAGCTACGGAGGTGCCAGCAACGTCTACAATTGAATCAGATTTTCATACAAAGTCTTTATTTAATCTCAACAGATGAAGTCTGGACAAAGTAAATCCGGTGATTTAGAAGGCTAATGAATTGGAACATCCTTTCCTATTTGCTGTTTAAATTCCATTTCGCTTTGTGACCTCTACAAGTCTTTTAATTTTGTCGTACTGGTAATGAAACAGTGCAAAATAAATATGCTGCTACTCTTTCCGTATAGATAACTTTCCCTAAAAGACCACTTCTTGACTGGCCATTGATTGACTAACTCCTTTGTTTAAATTCTCTTTTACTAAGCTTGTAATTCACTCTGGTAACCATTTTTTCGTATCATTCATACCATAATCATTTTTTCGTATCATTCATATAGCAATTATTTTTTCGTAATCATTTAATCTCGTAATCATTTTTTAAAGACCCATTGAAATAACAAGCTCCTAATAAGATCTCTTTTAAATAAGCTTTCGTTACTATGGGTTTATTGCTAATATCTTGAAATAAGTGAAGATAATTAAAAAATGAATTTTTGTTTTCTTAGTAGCCAAACATCATGCGAGTTCTCTAAAAACAATCCTAAATAATGTCAGGCTTATTAAGAAATACTGGAGACTTTTCCACTTGGCATGTTTTATTGCAAAATGGTTAGCAAGGAGCCGAATCAGTTATTTTCAATTAGTCTACTACAGATATATTCCTCTGGGTAGTTTAATATTTTTTTTAACATGACTCAATTAGTGAAGTACAATTATAGTTCATAAACAAAACATTTTAAAACTGAGACCTAACTCTCATTGGCTCAAATTGAACGAATTTCCTTATGTTTGACATGCATCAATTGTAACTTTATTTCGAAAAAAGATAATATTTTGTAAAAATCAGATGCAAAAAAAAATATTAATTAGGGTACTTAAACTTTAAATATAAAAATCTTTTGGAAAATATAATGTTCCTAAAAAAATAGAAACTTTTTATTAAAGATAAACGAAACTTTAAAAAAATGCATTTTAAATTTTTGATATGAATAAATTACGATACTTAATGCATGCAAAGTCATTCTTAAACCTTTTGGAATTAAAAAAAAGGAATAAAATAACCATAATTAAGTGGCAAGAGCTAATATATTGATATTTTTAAGTAAAAGAAGCTAATGAGCTGTTCTCTCCTTCTTCAAAAATGTGAAGGAATATTCATTTTTTCTCTTCCAGACTCAAATACAAAGTAATTTCCTAAAGTGTCCGCGAAATAACAGGTGCGTTAGTTTCCACCGAACTTTTCCAAAGAAATCGTTCGTAAACGTTGGAGAAAAGAAAAATGTCTGGCAAAAGAAACATCGATCGCTGGCCATTATCGAAGTTTTAAAGCAAAAAATGAAATGTACTCTTCCTAAACAGCTGTCAAAAGGAACGTGGGAATGATAGAGAGGAAAAGAAAAATGTTTTCGTTTTCCTTTAAAAATTGGCGAATCACTCTTTGAAGCGTACGAAAGATTATATGAAGAATATTTAAGAGCGATTCCAGAAAATAACATGTTTAAGTGGGCTGTAATTTAGCAGCAATATCATTTTTCTCTTTAATAAACATTCAGTTTGTTTTCGTCTAGTGCATCGTTTGCGTTTAGAACAGTTTGAGAATATAATTTTAAGTATTTATATGAATAATTAAAGATTGCAAAATGTTTTCGTTTTCCTTTTAAAATTGGCGAATCACTCTTTGAAACGTACTAAGATTATACAAAGAGTTTTTAAGAGCGATTCCAGAAAATAACATATTTAAGTAGGCTGTAATTGAGCAGCAATATCATTTTTCTCTTTTAATAAGCATTGTGTTTGTTTTCGTCTAGTGCAGTGGTTCTTAACCTTTTTAAGCCGCGACCCAAATTTGAGAAATATGTTCATGTCGCGACCCAAAAAAAAGTCAAAATTAGGCTGAGTAAGCCACAATGACTTCTTCTAGGAGGTGTTGGTATTACTTATTATTTGGTGCATTACTAACTTTTTTGGTTCGACTCAGCGCGACCCAAGAAGCATCGTTTGCGTTTAGAACAGTTTGAGAATATAATTTTAAGTATTTATATGAATAATTAAAGATTGCAAAAGGTTTTCGTTTTCCTTTAAAAATTGGCGAATCACTCTTTGAAACGTACAAAGATTATATGAAGAATACTTAAGAGCGATTTCAGAAAATAACATGTTTAAGTGGGCTGTAATTGAGCAGCAATATCATTTTTCTCTTTTAATAAACATTCAATTTGTTTTCGTCTAGCGCATCTTTTGCGTTTAGAACAGTTTGAGAATATAATTTTAAGTATTTATATGAAAAATTAAAGGTTGCAAGTGAGCAAAATAAATATTATATTGGAAAGTATTACACTGTTCGAAATTTTTCTGCAAAAATGTTTAAATAGCAATTTACTAATTTGTTATTTTACCATATTCAACTAAACAGTCAAATTATCATCAAAAAGATTATATTTAAACTCTTAAGCGGGGAAAAAAACATTTTATTGATAGTTTTTCCATAATACATTTACAGAACCAGAATTCTATCCACACTAACTGGACCAGCCTTATAAAGTCATTTTGTTCCGTGCAGATGGGTACATACTGTAGCTGAGAAGCTAATTGGTCAATCTCATGATTGTCTGAACAGGTTTTCAATACTAGCTGTGATAGTACACTATTTCTTTCATTCCTTCAATACATGAAATGTTTTCAGCGCCCTGCACTTTTCAATCGGTGACTCTGAACTATGAGAATACCAATCTATCATTCACAAATGGCGCAACAGCCACAGAGTTCCAATGTCCGTTTATGTTTCCTTTTTATGGTTTAGAAACTGTACTAGTCGTAAATGGTTACAAAACCGTAAAGTTTTGTATTCACGGTTTTTTAACCGTACCAGTTATAAACGGTTTCGAGAACGTAAAGGTAAAAAAACATTTCCAACCATGGACTTTATGGTTAATCGGATGGACAGACTGCTGCCGGTTATTTTACCGTAATTTCAGAATGAAAATTCTAACAGAGTAGGTAACAGAATGCTTAAAAGGTTTTTTTCTTGTGAAAAACTAATAAAAAACCATAAAGAATATGAAGTAAATAAAAAACAAAGGAAAAATAGGGAAACCTGTGTATTAGCTTATTTATACATTGCACACGTTGTACTTGAAGGAGCGTACAAGCACAGTAACTTAACTCCAATATTTCTATTATACCTCACGGCTTGTTAAAGTTGCTGACATAGTTCTCAAACAATCTGAATAATTTGTTTCTAAATAAAACAAGTAGTTTTTATTAGAAAAAATAACTGATTCAAATGTAAATAAGTATTTACTGTTCGAAAATTTATTACTTTTAAATAATTAGAAATTTCATTAACAATTGTATTCTTTCGCCACATTTTCTTTCGGTAATTTTTCACAAAGTGAATAAATTATTAAAAATCTGAACCAGCATTAATTCGGACAAGAAAAATAATTATCAATATGGTACACTGTTAAAATTTTCATTCTATAATTATGGTAAACTGACTAGCAGCTGTCTGTCCATCCAAATAACCGTAAAGTTTACGGGAAAGAACATTTTTTCCCTTTATGGTTTTGAAACAATTTACAAAAAGTATGGTTATAAAACCATGATTACAAAACCATACGGTTTTTTAACCATTCACAACTAGCATTTTTCAACAATGTAAAAAAAAATTAGTATTTAACTAGACAAAGGAGCTCGTCTTTTCGTAAGGTAATGGGCATTGGAGAGTGCCGGACTGTTAAAATTCTTCATGTGTTGGAGGGAATGGAGGAAATATTGTGTCAGCCCTAGGACTCGAACTCCAGTTCTGTCGGTCGTGAGTTTGACAGATAAGCCTACTCGGCTATTATATGTACGCAGTTGCAAAGAATTAGGTAGCTTCATTAGGTCGTTCTAGTTGGTGCGATAAGATTCTGATTGCTTAACCACATTTGGTGAAAGCAGTTAATAAACAGTTTTTTCTCTAACTTAACAGTTTGATTACCATTTTATTTATGGTTATTTGACTGCTTTGATTAAATATGGTAAAATAACCATTTAATAATTTGTTACTTAACCATTTTTTCAGAGAGATTTTTAACAGTGTATTTATTCTTAAAATAAAGTAATTTTTGGACATAAATCAAAACAAACTAGTTCACTTTTTATTGCAAAAAATATAAAAATGCACCCTAGTTCATAATTCCATCAATGTCTTTTATGACGGAAAAGCATTCAAATTAAATATGAATGTCATGTCGCCAAAAAAAATGAAAAAGGAATTTGTTATTTCAGGTTCTAATTGGCGACCGTCCTGTTTCAAGGAATGTTGACAGGGAAAATAGAAAAATATCTTCGATATGTCGTGAAGTGTCTCCCGTCTTAACCAGAGAAACTCAGGAAGCTTTTTTAGAAAGATTAAACGCGGTGGAAATAACTATCCGAACACTTCAGTCTTCGAGACAAGTGGAGAAGACAGCCAAAGACGAAGCCAAATCACCGGAAAAGAAAGTAAGGATATCCCTTTCCCTTGATTTAAAATAACATTTATCGAAGAAGTGTTTTTCATCCTTCACTTTAATTTGGCATTTCGATAATATTGGCACTCTATTTTCCTTTTAAAACTTTTCTGTTTTGTTTGGATTTGCTTGCTGAAACGCTAATAAATCATTTTAGTCACTAAGTTTAATCATTGAAATTCATGAATGGAATATAATTGGGGATTAACTGTGGCTGAGGTATTTTTAAAATGCCCTTTTCAGCCTTTGTTCTTTAAAGAGTTGCCAAACAATGCTCTAATCTTATTCATTATTGATCCCAATTTTTCTTTCAATAAATATTAAATCAGTTAAAAGACAATAGCGTATAAGATCAAGAGTTATTCAGGGTGCTTCATTTTTTTTTCGCTCGTGTACATTGTTCAAATTGATTTTAGAACGAACTCACTACCCCCAGCTTTTCATCTCATACAATGACCATACAGCTTTTTATCTCATACAATGTAAAGTGACGGTCAACTATATTTCAATGATGTTCGTTAAAATTACGATCAAGCGTTAAAATTACGGTTCGTTAAAATTACGGTATATCAAACAATATTTGCTGAAGTTCTTTAAAAATACGGGTACCAGATTTTTTTATCAAACTATCTTTGGTTATATTTAATTATTCTTCATAAGTAAGTTCGTTAAATATACGGGTAAAATTACGTTTTTGTGTCTGATTTCGTAACTTAAAATATCATCTGCGCTAACTAGCTGCTAACTTACATCCCCACAAACCATTAAGATTGAGTCGCATTACTTGAAAATCTAATCATTAGATTAAATGTTGTTGTTTTTTTCGCACTCTACACCCATTAGGACACGGAAATAAAGGTCCCGGTTTCGAAAACGGTTTCAACGAAAGAGCATTTCTCTCGAACTCCCCGACAGATGGCAGCACTACGCAACTTAGGCCTGTTTTATAATACGCATTGATTCGACAAACAAATCGCCTCAGTGTCAAACAAAGCTAAAATCCCAATTGAAGATAACTTTCACGAACATAGCGTTAATGTATGGTCAGTGGTGATATATTTTACGAGAAAAAAATTTCGTATCGACCAGTATCATTGTGATTTCAATAGCTTTAGGGCTGTGGCTTTTTTTTTTATTATTCATTGATTTATTTCAATCTGTATTTGTTGTTATTCCTAATAAAACGTTAGATAGTATAAATAATTTATCCAGTAGTAGCATACTTTGTTAAATTAAAACATGTTTCTCATAGGTTTCTCCTAAACAGCCACAGATAGCACCAACGCAAGAACCAGCAGAAGCGACGAGGAAAATTAAATCAACATCCAAGAAAGAATCAGAAGAACTTAAGAAAATGTCTAGTATAGAAAAGACTTCTCCCGAAGAAATATCGGAAGTGTCAGGTACAAGGAGTCCGACGGGACGTTCAATGCTAAGATCCAGGAGTAAGACCTCAGAGACAAGTTCATCCGTTAGATCTAGCAGCGAGTCTTCAAAACTTGTAAATAAACTCACACAACAAGAATGGATTTCATCAAGTGCTGAGGTAGATACATATATATCACCTTTAAAAATCAAAAGCCGTTAATAAGCTCATTAAATTGCTAGATTAATTAGGGTGATTCTTTTAAATGTGGAATCAAAGAAATTCCACGCTTCACCTAGGCGATGTGCACCTCAGAGACATATAGTGGAAGATAAACCACTTTAGCTAAAATATCTTTACAAAAAAGGGATGCAACTTTGCTACACACCTGGGCCTTTCCTTCTACTAGCGCCACGACACTTTTTGCGATATTTTCCCATTGTCATCATCGTAATTTAAGTCTCGTGCAGCTTAATGGGATACCTGCAAGTGATGTATTGTGGGTAACTCGATCCTGATTGGTTGTTGAAATGTGGCATTTGTTTACATTAGCAAATGTACTTTATATTCTATTTCGAGTAATACAAGCCCACCAAGTATCAATTCTCTTAAGTGACACATTTAATAATCTTTCACAAAGATTTCAATTCTTTCCCTACTTACTTAACACAAAAACAGGCATGAAGCCATGTAGAATATAAACAAACTAATTATGCATGAAAGTTACCAGGCACACAAAGCAAAAATATATCACGGTTACAATAAATTATATAAACAGATAATAAATCTAAGTTAAGTGAAAGACATAGACGAGAAAGAATTATATGTCAGCAATTTCGTTGTACAATACGGCGTTATATTTAATTAACTTCATGTTAATTAAATATAACTAAAACACAATTTTAACACAATATTTCGACTATAAACGATCAGCTGGAGCAGATGTCATAAGTCAAATGTGTAGGTATCTCTGATCTTCTTCGTCTTGAAGTTGAAGTACCCAATTTCTTTATTTGGAATATGAGTAAATAATATTTGAGCCGAATACTTTTAGATATATATTTCCAAAAGTGTGCATTTTCTAAAAATACCAAAATAAGGTAATGAGTATGGTAAAATGAAAGTAAATGATGAACATTTACTTTCTGTTAGCAGCACTAGATTTCGGCACTAGTTAAATACCAGTCTAACTATAGTACCGGCACCATAAATAATAGTTCTATGAAGCTTTTTACTCATTGAAATCAAAGGTATCGATTCACTATATTAAATTTTCTTTTTTTATAAAGTTGGCTCTCTTTCCTCCCTTCTTCCATGAAAAAGGGTAAAAACTATTTTAATGACTCATGAATGACATAAAAATCGAGTTTTGTACTATTTTATTCTTGAAAAAAGTAATGAAAGACTTTTATTTTCATCATTGTCACTAGATAGCAACATCATTAAGAGAAGGCGGCTAGTATTAAATTTTATATACGTTTTTAAAGGTGAAGTTGTGCCTTTTCAAATCTACAATGATTTGCTGATCTATATAGTTGAATTTACTTCATTTCACTAATTTCCTTCCCCAACTTCTTCCACTTATTCCTCAACTCTCAGTTAGGTTTCTCCATCGCCTAAAAGAATGAAGTTAATACAATAGACAAAATAGTTAATAGAACGGTTCTAGACGGTAAAATGCCGGTTATCTTGGTAATTGAAAATTGAAGTAATTGGGAATTGCCGGTTATCTTGGTTCAAAATTGCAAAGCTACGAAGTTGAACACTGATAATTGTAAACTCATAATTGGGTAGGGTGTTCAACGCCAGTTATAAAATAAAGTACATGGTTCCTCCCTAAGTGCTTTTCTTCTTTACACCCAAACAGCTGCAACTATAGTATATAGGTAAACTATGTGCTATCTAATTAGACTACCAGCAGAGCCACCTGTTGGCAGCTAAAGTTGTTAGCGCTTCAATATCAAAAACTGTGAGAAATAGATGAAAAAAATATTTACAAAGTTTCAAAGCATCATCAATTTATTACGAATAAAATCTAGTGTATATCGTTGTAAAAACGAAATGATTGAAAGAACTATGAGTTTCAAAAGTAAAATTATCTAGACTGTCAGTTTTTTTCTCCCATGTAACGTTTCGTTGCAACATATTGTTTAAAGTTACGAATGCTCAAAAGATTTGTGAAGCTCTATACACTACCTCAATATATAAATACCAAAAATTACTAGTATTTTAGACTAATTTATTTAAGCACATAAGAATATAATAAAAATTTCACTTTATAGAAATTAAAAATTTATAGATAAAAGTGGTTTGTAGCATTTCTATAACATTATACAAAATGGAAAAACACTAATTGTTGCATTTTGAAATGACGCAAAGATTCAAAAACTTCAATACTTGCAGAAATTTTTAAGACAGTTGTAGCTTAACAACCAACTTGCATTTTGGATATTTGCACGAATTATTTTGTCAGTCCAATAAGGCCAGTGTCTGATTTCCTTTAATCCCACAGGTTTGGGTGATAAGTGCCGAGTTGAACATTCGTGTTTTCTTTTTTTCTTTTTTTTTTTTTTTTACTTTTATTTCTTCCTTAGCCTTGCACATTAATTTTTTTAATGCCTTTGGACTTGATGTTCATTTTCCAAAGAGTTCCTGCAACTTTAAGGTGGAAGTCTGCAAAATTTAACAGCGTCACAGTTTACCCCTTTTTACATGCACATGTTTACATAGTATCCAAGCATTTAACATTGCTAAATCGAAAAAATTATAAAACATGCGAATTTGTCTTCTTTTACCTCTTAGTAATATCTTTATAATTTTCATAACAAAGGAAGAAATTACCAAATGTTGCAAAAGCATAAAAAAACATAAAATTGCGCATTTTATATAGATATTTTGAATTTTCTTCAACAAAAGTATTTTGACATAAAAAGTTTGGTCCTTCTTTTGTGAAATAAAATTTAAGTAATAAAATTTAGGAATTTTGAGTAATCAGTTTCGTAAATTTTGAGTAATCAATTTCGAAAATCTTGAGTAATCATAAAATTTGAATAATATTCCTGAAAGTAAAGTGTGCAACATTGTAAGCAACTAATTGAATTTAAATTCTAAAAATCACCTCAGTATCGTCTTCAAGAATAAAAGGCAGTCATTTCGCACGTCAGATCCTCTACGAAGGCAAATTTCTCCCTATTCTCGATCCAGGAGTTTTCTTGTCTTCTGGATTGGGTTCAGAATTACAAGACTACGTAGTTGAACATTAGTAGTCGTAAACCCAAAAATTGGGTCGGTTGCTCAACGACGGTGATAAAATATAAGAAAATAAAATATATCTGCTGTCGATCAGTAGTTACGACTGAAAATGTAGTAGACACCTTTATGAGTCTATATTATTCATGAGTCTAAATTTACCATGTTTCTAACGTTGCTTTATTTTCTACAAAAAGTAAATTAACTTTGAAGTTGAGTTTCTTCCGGTGTTGATGATATATTTCAGTTGAATTCGAAATATTATTTATCAAACTGGAACTCTACTTCAGTTTTAGTCGTTTAGTGAATCTATGATTAACACAACTGTTGAGAAATTAATAATGTTAGCAATAAAACTTAAATTAACCTAATTTTGGAAATTATAGTTAAATTGCTAGGTCTAAGAAATATTTGTAGTTATGCATAGTACATAAGCCTTGTATATTATACATACGTACATTTACATTTAACACAACAAACTATTCGATTTAACGAATTCTTAATCAGCAAGAGTATAAAATCTTTCCTTTTAAAACTTTAGAAAGAAGATTCTTGTTTCTTTAAAAATTAACATAAAATAAGTGATGTTTTAGACTTTCGTACTTTGTTCAATCAAACTAAATCTTGTAAAAATAAGATTTTTTAGAAAAATTAACACTTTAAGTTAAATAGAAACATAAACACTTTAAAACTTTAATCAAAGAAAACTTCTTTAGCTGTTTCAACTCACTTAAACGAAAGCATTTTAAGCTCTGTGTAATTTTTTTTATTTACTATTAGCGTGGGAGTACAACAATTTAAACTGAAGCTTCTAAACCTTTGGAAAAGCTGCAAAAACTACTGCAAAACTACAAGAAAAATCAAAACTTTAATCAATAGGATAATTAATTTAACGTTTTTTTTTGTTTACTAGTTTAAGTTTTAATGCATAGGACTCCACTCGTTTAACTCTGAAGTTTCAAAGTAAGATAAACTAATTAAATTTTTAATTAAATTTTAATTAGAATTCAATTCGGGGTTTTCTCGAAAAATTTAACTTGTAAATTAATGTTCACTCTGTTTAAATTGCTCTCAAAGTATTCATAATTTTTAAACTAAATTACAGAACGATGTTTCTGTAATTTATTTAGAAATATGTTGTTTACTGTGTTTTGTTTTCTGTAATTTTTTGGAAAATAATAACTAAAAACGCAGAATTTTAACCCATTTTCGGTCAAAGGTGCGTGATGAACTATTTCAATAAATATTTTTAGTGACATTTTTTCACTGACGCTTGTATATTTTTCACTAATTTTACTTTTCCCTTATTTTAAAGGGTTCTCGATGCCCATTTTCTTTATTACTTAATAAAATAATAATTTTATAAATATTATTTATGCATTTTATTAACCCATTTCATAAAATATTATGTATTCAATTAAACTTTTTCTGTTGCGAAATTTTTAAAATATGCTTTTTTTTAACTCCAAAGTTTATTGGCAAATCCAAAGTTTATTAACAAATTTTGTTGACAAAGTTTGTTAAAATGTATAAATGTATAATTTGAGATTAATTATATGTTTTAATATGGATTAAAGTTGCAATTTCTGGAAATAAAATTACCATATTATACACCATCACAATCTATGCACCATTATCATTGTGCCTTTTTTTTACCATTTATGCATCATTGCCATTATGCATTTTATTACCATTTATGACCATTTTATTTCTTAAATATTAGTGATAAATAATATTATTTTATAAAATAGTATTTTTTAATACACGAAATTTTTTGGGCTTTAATGAATGTAATTTAAGCATATTTCAATGAAAATAATACAACATTTTTTAAAATTTCAATGCCTGTCATAAAACGGGTCAATGTTTCAGGGATCCTGCTCCTGCCAGGATTACATCTCTAATGATGAATCACTGACCATCACTGATGACTCACTGCATCCTGAAATCAAACAAGCCCTAGAAAATGCCGAAAAGAGAAGACAAGAATACTTGGTGAAAGTAAGTCAAATTTTTAAAAGAATGTTTTTTTTTAAAAATTCAAATAGACTTAATCCATGTCCATTGCAAATGAATACTGCTGTGTTTAGGAAATAAATTTTTATATGTATCACATAAGAAAGCATCAAAATTGTTTTTGTAATAAAAATATTAAGGCTTTATTGATGCATATTCAAAACAGGAAACGTTAGAAAATTTAAAACAGGGGTGAATCAAGCAATACTTTTCTCTAACATTCTTTTTTAATCCACTGAAAAAAAGAAAGCATGATAAAAACTACCAGAATATGTTAATGTTTATCATATTTTTAGATCTATGAAAACACGAAAAAGCAGGGTATTTTTTACAGAAATGCTTTAGAAATTTTGGTAAAATTAGCTATAAAGTATGGTTTTATAATGAGTAATTGAATTTGGTAACTGTTGCGAAATATAATTTTATCTTAATACCTTACAGTGCTGAATAAAAACCATTTATTCAGTGAAATTCACTTATCTTAGTTTTTTTACAAAATGTGGCTCTATGTTGCTGGCTCCCTGAGAACACCAAAAGGCTCGGTGATTCTTACCGAAATGCTTTAGAAATAATTTTCGCAAATTGATCATAAAATATGGTTTTGTAAAATGTGATAACATTTAGTAAATTTGGCAAATTTAAAAATTTCTTCATGAGATCTTAGAAAATGGAGTAAAAACCATTTAGTCAGTTTAATTTACTTTGAAGCTTTGTATTTTTTCTAAATGTGTTGTTATAAGAACTACAATTTTGAAAGCGAGAATTTCCTGTAAACCGTTACTATATGAACAGAAAAATTACGAAATGAACGATTTAAACACCATATATATTGATTGCTTTCCAGGATTTGTTTGTGTTTTTCAACGGAAAAGTTATCATAAAGAACAGTAGATTTAACAGAATTTTGCATTATCCACGTACAATGATTGTACTTAAAAGAAAAAGAAAGCTTGATGCCATTGTTTTTTGCAAAAATAAAACATATCAAGGTGCTTTCCTGAACGAATACTTTCTAGAGCAGCGGTTGATAAAAGTTGTCACGTAGAACCCTAGGATTTCGTGGAAAGGTAGCGAGAGTTCTGAGATCAAGCCCACTTCATTTTTTAACTATATTTTTACCCAATCAATTATCTACAATTTATTTAATATTTCAGTTATTTTTATGATGTTATTTATGCAAAATGCCAATGAAAAAATATAGCAAAATTTTTTAAAAAAATAAATTTACGTATTTTCCAAGTAAATTGCGAAAAAGCTATGCATTTACAAATAATGCATGAGTATTTCTCATGAAACATTTCAATTTAAAATAACTAAACTCAAAGACAGAAAATTATGTTTCTTTGCTTACCNGAAAAGTTATTAGCAACCTTCGAAAGGAAGGTCCTACGAACCATCTTTGGCCCTATACTCGATAACGACAACTGGAGGAAAAGATATAATTTTGAAATATATAGGATCTTTGATGGCGATGATATCATTAAATCTATTAAATTAAGTAGAATGAGATGGGCCGGGCATGTAGTGAGAATGAGCCCAGAACGAACAGCATTGAGAGTCTCTAATGCAACCCCCTCCAATAAAAGGCCAAGAGGAAGGCCCAAAAAGAGATGGAAGGACTGTGTGGATGAGGATTTTGTAAGTAAAGAACTAAAAGTAAAGAACTGGAAAACAATAGCTGGGAGAAGGGCAGAATGGGAAAAGCTTCTGAGGAAGGCCCAGGCTCACAAAGGGCTGTCGTGCCAATGCTGATGATGGTATTTAATTAGAATTGAATTCATACGTTAAAATAAATTCCTAACTGAAAACCGCTATAAACCTGTAAATTCAATGACTTGTAATTTTAAGTTTATTAATTATAAAACAATTAAAAATTTCAATTCTTCACATTAGACATAACGAAATTGAGTTGTATTCTTTTTCGTTAGTATACTCGCTGCTGTTAATGAACTTTATTTAAGAAATCGGGGTTCCGCTTAAAGAATTTTGACCATTTAGGGTTTCAGAGCTGAAAATAGTTGAAATCCGCTGCTCTAGATACTAATACCTTAAGAATGAAAGTCTGAAAGATTTGAATTCATACTTTTTTGAGAAGTTAATCATAGAAGTGTTTGAATAAATACTTTCTACAAACTAAATATAGACTTAATACTTTTTGAAAGTCAACTTTATTTATCTCTATTTAAAACAGGAATTAAACCTCTTAGAGAAAATAAAAAAAGTTTAATGATACCAAATTGAGTTTTAAAAGAAAAATTCATGTTAAAAATTTCAGGAGAACGAGAAAGTTTGCTATTTTTTTTTTAAATTTCTCATGAACGACTTAGGATTATTTTTTGACAGTTTTGCATACATGGAAAAAATATTCTGGTAAAAGCGGGTAAGGATATTTCTAATTAAAAAAAGCATAATACTGGTTTTAAAGACAAAGTTTTACGGAATTTAAACCATTTATTTGGTAATTTCTCATTAATATGTTAACAATTTCTCGGAAATTCTGGTTTGTAAAATTATTGTTCTTATTACCTCACATTTAATAAAAAATACAAAACTGAAAAGTAATTCCAACTAAACAAATGGTTGTTTATACCAAGCTTTAAAAGCATCATGATAAAATTATCAAATTTTACCGGATTTACTAAATTTTATCCCATATCATAAAGCTATATTTTGTGTTAATTTTACCATAATTATTACCGAAGTGCTGTAGTGAAAAATTACCAATTTTTTTGGTGTTCTCATGCGACGAGAAACACGCTAAATTTACCATATTCTAGCAATTTCGACCTTATTTTTTGCAGTGCATAAATATGCTCCTTTTAACACTGTCTATTTTCTTTACGTTTGGAACTTAATGGTTGCTGAAAAAGAAAGCAGCAAACTTTACATTACTTCCTTCGCTCTTTCTTTATTGATTTTTCTATTTTTTTGTCATTTTTTGGACATTTTGGACAAAATCTTTCAGTGAATAACTTTAAAACAAAATCAAAACTTTAGCTTGAAAATGCTTATTTAACAGAAACTCTATTTCAGACGTATTCGATCAAAACATGAAAAGACATGTTTTATTTCTAGTATCGGGAAAAGAAGGAAAAAAGTGAGGCGAGAATGGATGATCCAACTTCTCCAGATAGCGAATCTTCCAGCAGCATTTTCACAGAAAGAGAAACATCTAGAAGTGAGGTAAGCTGCAAATCGGACATTTTTGTTTTGTCTTTAAAAATGTTTGAATCCACATTATGAAAAATGGTTTCCATATTTTCTTAGTTTCCTGTTTGAATTCTGTGTAGTTGTGCTTACAAAACATAAATAAAATAAATATGAACGCTTCATGCAACCATTGAGCCAATTGCCTTGACATTTTATATAAATGAAACACATTATTTGGTATAAAATATGAAACATCATAATTTCTGTAAAAAAATATCTTTTTTCACTTTTGAAACTGAAGGAGTATTGCAAGTATCTAGATTCGTGAATTTTTCTCTTTAGTTTTCAACTGATATCAGCTTACATTTTAGTTTAAGTAACAAAAATATTTTTAAGATTATATTTTAGCTTTTTACGACTGGGCTCTTTTAGAAAAAATCTTAACTTTTTTATAGACTTAAAAACATTTTCTAAAAACTCTGTATACGTCACAAAATTTATAGTTGAAATATTTTTTTTTGGAAAGTGGCATACCTAGTTATTTCTTTTCATTATGTTAATATCTTGAAATAATACTATCTGCAAATATTAATAAAGGAATATTTAACAACTGATTAAAGGGTTGGCTGAAAAATGTCAAGAAATTTTGAGCAATTGCTCTGTGAGTTTTTAAAGTTTCTGTATGAGTACTTTTACCAGTGCTTGTTTTTAATAATTTTACGCTTTTCAATCAATTAAAAAAATTTAATTTTAAGTAACGAATGTTTAAAATTAATTCTTTTTTATTGTAAGATATTTGAAGTTTGATATACTGTATCTCAATGTTAATTTCCTGTCCTAGTCATCATGACTTAAACGCTTTCATTCCTGCCAACATTCATTAATTAACATCATAAAAATCATTATTAGATGAGTACTCTTACCACTGATTGTTTTTAATAATTTTGAATTTTTCATTCAATTAAAAAAATATTATTTTTAAGTGGCGAATATTAAAAAAAAATTATTGTGAAACATTTAAAGTTATCTATAGTGTATATCAATGTTAATTTATTGTCCTAGTCATCATGACATAAACGCTTTCATTCCTGCCAACGTTCATTAATTAACATTATTAAAAATCATTATTAGATTTATCTGTCTTATGAATTTAATTTTTACTAAAACATTCTCAAATAGCAATTCTAATCAAAATACCTTTAATGTTGCCATTCAAACTCATCTATAGAAAAAGATTTTTTGATAAAACTTCATGTGTTTTGGTTTTTACTAATGAATCTCTTACTACTTATTAACAGAGAAAACGTTTATATTTACTATCGAAAGTACGCGAAAATTAAGATATGTTGTACTCACTGATAAATTACGTCTGAAAGAAAAAAATATTTCTGGGAAAAAGTATTTTGTAACTAAGCATCATATTTATATACATATTTTGTGAACTCTCTCAAGCAAATATATATGCCTAAAATGCCTAAATCGCCCCTTTCCCAACTCGTACCACACTTAATTTCTAAAAACTCGTTGTATAGAGATAAATTAAATTTCTGTTAAATTAGATAGCTTTTCTCACTTAGAAATCTATGCAAAAGAATCAAGTTGCTCCCTTCATGTGTTAAGTTCATATTTAAATTAATAGGTTTTATAAGTTTACAATGTAATTTTTGAATATCCTTTTATAAGGATATAGCAGAACTGAAGCGATTTACAGATTATTATACAGATTAATTGTTAAGCAATTTATTCTATTATTATTCTACTTGTTTGTTTTTTTTTTTGTTTTTTTTTCGTTAACTATTGCCATATTATTAGACGCACTATGAGATTCTATGTAAAATCTTAATTATCAGGTGATATTATACAGCTTCATTGTTTGGACGCGGTTGAAACCGGTTTACACTTATTTATGTTCGTGTATCAATTAGTTAACATTGCAATGCAATTCGTTAAAAAGATAATATATTAATCCAAATAGGAAGTATATATATAAAAAATCTTCTAGATAAAAGCCCATTACATGTGTGTTTAAACATAAAAGTATTGCATGTAACTTGTGCAAAACATGTAATTATTAAAAAACTACAGTGAGTCTAATAATTTGATCTGATTATTATAATATACTATTATAATAACTGATATAATAAATATTCTATATTTATATAATATATCGTCTAATTTATCCAGTCGTCTATTTTACTTTATATCGTCTAATTTAACCAATTGATACACGAACGTAAGCTAGTGCAAACCGGTTGCAGTCGTGTAAAAACAATAAAGCTGTAAAGTATCACCTGATGATTCAGATTTTACATAGAATCTTAAAGTGTGTCTAATAATTTGGCCAGGGACAGTACGTTAAGTAATTGCTTAAATTGTACCTTGTCTGCAGTTATAAATTATACCGGTTCGACTCCAGAGCAACATATCAACTTCAATTACAGAACAGATCGATTTTCTAACCATTTAAACTGTACTACGCTCAAACTGTCAAAAAGTAGCTGTGGCTGTGAACAATTTCTTGGCTTACTTTCTCCTACTACCAAATTTCTCATCTCACAGACAAGAGTATAAAATAAGACTGCGACAAATGACAGTGTTATTCATTACGTTATTCATTATTTGTCGTTATTCGCTATTCATCGTTAAAATTCAAACATTCACAAAAGACACAAAAAACGTATCGTGCTTGCAAAATAATACTTTATTTACGAAATGAAATGGCGCATAAATTGTATTAAAGAGCACAATGGTAATTGAGCAAAATGGTAATGGTGCATAACGGTAAAGATTCAATAAATAGTATTGGTGAATAAATTGGTAATTTTATTTACAGAACTTGCTACTTTAATACGCAATAAAGACATATGATTAATCCTAAGTAGAATAATTATACATTTTCAAACAGTCGGACTTATCAATAATCGTTTCAAGTTTTAAAAAAAAATGAGTAAATAAAAATTAAAATACAAAAATTTGCCTGAATACGATTAAGTGAGCAGGTGGTACGAATTAGACAATCTAAATCGTACTACTAGCAGACCTTGCGAAAACAATTTATTAGCATTTACTGCGCAAATATTAATGCAAAAAAAAATAATAATTCAAGTTACCAAGAAGCTATATTTCATTATTTAAATATTTCAAAAGGAATTGGCTGCGATTTGTTTCTGTTGAAAATTCAAATGTGGAAAACGATACGATTTATGTAACTTTCCTTCGCATTTTAACTATTAATAAGCAGTGTGATATTTTAGAAAATATTTCTTCTGAAATGAAGGTATAAATGGGATATTTTTACAACTAGCAATTTATAATTTTTTAAAGTTTTTGAGAAATTGTCAACCATGGCACCCGAATGTATTTCTAAAATTTTAACAATACATATCAGCTATCAACTCTAACCGAAATACTATTTATTTTATCTCTCTTAAACTTTATGATTGAGAAAGATTTGTTTGAGGACACTGTCTGTATTTCTATTTTTACTAACTAAGAATTCCAATGAAAATAAATCCTATTTAATGAGGCTATTAAAACTCATAGATAAAAAAAAGGTTTTTTCAATGAATTACAGTGTGTGTTTTTTTCTTATTGACAGGTATCAACTAGCAGTTCCAATCGAGTGGCTAAAAGTGAAACGGAAGAAGATGAAAGTTCAGACTACGTCACCGCAACAGATCAGTCCCCTCATTCACCCTACAGATTAGCCTCCATGATCCGGAGGAAAACACCCGGAGAAGAAAGTGATGTCCCCACCTCATTTGAAAGCTTCAGTTCACCATCAAAGAGTAGCGGTCATCTTCAAGTCAGATCTTCAACATCCTCATCATCTCCACTTCCTCATGACGGTGCCACGACACCATCTAGTCAACAACTAGAAGGTTGGGAAAGATATATCTTCAAATATGCATGCCACATAAAATTTGCCTTTCAACTGTCATTGAATATGTATGCCACATGAATTTGCCATTGAAAATGTATGCACATGAATTTGAAACTGAATATGTATGCCGCATAAAATTTGCCATTGAACTGTCGTATACATTTAGTTATTCAAGTTAGATCGTTGAACTATCCCTAACTTGGGCAATAGTTATGGGGTTTAGTATATTATAGATTATCTATAGATTATGTTAAAAACGAATAAATCTTAAGATTATCAATTATAATCCATTATAATTTTTTAACTGAATACGTATGACTAACCTGACTTTTCGGAATGTAGGATTCTTTCCAAGTTAGATCCTTTATCATTTTTTTTCTTAGCATTATAAACAGTATCTGATTTATCAGAAAGTCTGAGAGATCTGGTCCTGTAGTCCTTAAAATATTATAAATCTTATTTTAGTGTTTTTTCTTAAAGAATTGTCTATCAGAATTATAAGTCAACAAAAACTTAAATGAATATGAGCTTAAACTTATCAATACATAATTCTTTCAAGCTATAAATAATTTAAAAGCATTTTGCAAATAAACAAAATGCAAATTAGGTATAAAGTTATGACCCGACATATCAGGCCCTGATTATAGATAGAGCCTATAACAATGCAAGCATTTATCAGACTTAGTTCTTAGAGGAAAAAATGTATGGCATTATTATGGCACAAAAAAAAATTTCGTAACTTATCACTGATCAATCAATCGCATTATAAACTTAGATATTTAATCCTCCTATTATGAAGAAATGGCTGGTGGTGCCTTAAGTAATAATTTTCTCCGTTAAGTACACTTAATCTAATGAAATCACAAGATTAGCCAAAGCTTAACTATTTAATAGTTCAAATAACTGTTACAAAAAACTTAAAGAAATAATTTCCTAACTGAGAACGAGAAGAAACGCTCCAAAATACATTTTCATCCAGGCGATGAAACTACGTCATTAATCGTCCTCTATCGCTTGATTATTGCCTTCTAGTTTCTTCAACATTTGTCTTCGATCGATTTGAGAATAAAAATGAAGTTTCGATGAAGTTTTAAACAGAAAGAATGAAAAGTTTAAATGCATTCAACCGCTGGATCACCAAGCTAATACATATACAATGCAGTACCATCAGCTGACCTTGATGCCCTGGAATCTTTCCTTATTCATATAAAAACTGATTACCTTGTTAACGATATTAGTTCCTCACTACCTCTCCATAGCTCGCGGAAATGCATTTAACCCTGATTTGCCCCTTTCGGCCCACTGTGCTTTTTTTGTACTGTTGTCATCTTTTTTTTCATTTCTTGGCTACTGTGGTTTTATCTAGTTTTTTTCTCACCTTTATGTTTCCATTTTTTGTTGGCTAATTAACGTTTTTATTCCAAATCATTTCTGTTTCGTCTCATTTACGCTTGACAAATCGTGAATTATGTGGACTGCTACTTCCAATTTGTACATTTTTGAAATGGATTAAGTTTTCAAACAAGTTACATATGTAATGCATAAAACAACATAATAAAATTATTATTATTTTTTCATCTGCCATGAAACAATAGTCGGGCGAAACGTTTAAAATATTTAAATACGTAATTTAAATTCTAAATGAAGTATAAGACTGTGAGTACTTTTTAAATCTGTACATACTATACTGCATCTTTAATAAATAGACAAAGACAAATGTGTTATAAGTTTTTTAAAAAAACAGAAAGATTTTTGTAAAAAGTGCTGCTATAAAAGCGCCCTGAAGTAACAGATTAAAATAAGTGTGCCAACCTGGTTTATCTTTTTATTTTCATCAGCGAACACTTATAAAGTTTCTTTCGTAATATAAATTTAAAGGAGGTTTTTCTGTTCTTTTGATTAAATTCTTCATCATTACAATTATTTTTATCAATAGAATTTTTATTTGTTTATTGCCTTTTCTTTTAAGAAGATTAATAATAATATAAAGTTAACTAGTTTATAGTGTTGGAATAATGCATATCACACTACAAACAATGCTTAAAGGTTAATTTTGCTGAAAGAATGTTTACATACATAGAGAGTTATCTTTTAATATTTTCAGCATTTTTCTTTCAGAAAACAATAAAAAAGCGCATGAGAAAAATCTTTAACTGGTATAATGTCTATCATTTCATTACAGTTGTAATATCTAACTATAATATTTCATTGATTGTTCATTACCGAACAATATTAGCTTAATATCAGTAGCAATCATCAAATATTATGAGAAAATTTACATAAGAATATATCTAAAAATTACAATATTCTTTTTTGAGTAGAAAACTTTTGATAAATATTTTCTCCCTTCTTCCATAACATTCTTTATAACTTTTAAATAAATAAATTATCGTAAACAGAGTTTTCTTAGGAATATTTTGTTCTGACGAAGTTTTATGGTAAAATCCATATCGTTTTTTCTGGGTTTTGCATAGTTTACAGTTTTATACAATTCTTATTTTTACTCTAATAAAAGTTTGAATAAATAACCATGAAACTCGGAGTTTTACAGTAGTTTTGAAAATATGTTTTCTTCGATTTTTAAAACTTTATTGCTCTCTCTCATTCTCAATTTTGAATCATGAGTTTCTTCTGCATTTCTCTTTATTGCACTCAAATATATTTTATAACTAAATCAAAAACTAAAAAAAAAGTGTACGTTTTTCATAGTCAATTCAAAAAATTTTGTTTAGACATTTTTACTAAAACAATTTATTTTAAGGAATCAATATCAACTTTTGTATGTCTCCTTTCTCTTTTTTACCACGTTTATATCAACTTGCCTTCGTGTATGTCTGTTCGGGTGGAATTTCGTAATCGATTTTAAACTAACTTCCCGACTAACTACAGACTTCAAATTTGGCAAATAGTTCAGAATATGATGAAAATGAAGAGAAAAAAGACAAACAATGTAAAATAAAATTAAAATTAAAGAAAAATTTATATTTTCGTGACTGTCTTTTGTTGTTGATTCGATTATTTCAAATTTTTGTCACATGTCAGTTGAAAAATTTTGTGTGCAGTGAGTGAAGAAATTGAGATTTTGGAAGTGAGTACAAAAAAAATCAAAATTAAAATTATATTTTTAAAAATCACATTTTTGTAAAGGAGAATAATAATTAAAAAACAAAAATTTGAAAAACGAAAAGGGTGGGGCGCATGAAGTACATAACAGTACATATACACTTTTTCTTACTCATACGCATGCACAACCACATACACATCCACATTCAGATACAATTACAGATATACGTACACATATTCTCATGAGCACACATACTGTTACTGTCATGTATTTCATGAGCCCCACGTTTTTCGTTTTTCAAATTTTTGTTTTTAAATTATTATTCTCCACTACAAAAACGTAGTTTTTAAAAATATTATTTTGATTTTGATTTTTTTTTTTTTTTTTTTTTTTTTTTTTTTTTTTTTTTTTTTTTTTTTTTTTTNAACTAACTGTTTACAATTATCTTAAAAATATCCTGGTACTGCTATATAGTGTGTAAAATGAAAAATCAAATGTTTTCCGGGCAAAAGAAATGAATTAGTTTTATTCTTATTGGAGCACTGAACACTCCAGCCCGTCAATATCACGGGAGCGAGAAATAGCGAGCGAAAACTCACCCCGTCATTTTCACCGGAGCGAGAAGGAAGGGGTTAAATGATTCTTCACTTTCTCTACTTTCTTGAATGTCTTCTTTGAAAAATCTGGCCATTCGAAATTGCCCCTTGATTTTTTTTTCGAATATTCTTTGATTCCAGTATTCTTGATTTTTCGCTTTGTGCACTGTTAAATAATTCTTCACTTTCTCTGCTTTCTTTAATGTTTTCTTTTAAAAATCTGTCGATTCAAAATTGCCACTTGATTATTTTTTCCGAATATTCTTTGATTCCAGTATTCTTGATTTTTCGCTTTGCGCACTATTAAATAATTCTTCACTTTCTCTGCTTTCTTTAATGTTTTCTTTTAAAAATCTGTCGATTCAAAATTGCCACTTGATTATTTTTTCCGAATATTCTTCGATTCCAGTATTCTTGATTTTTCGCTTTGTGCACTATTAAATGATTCTTCACTTTCTCTACTTTCTTTAATGTTTTATTTAAAAAATCTGGCGATTCGTGATTGCAACTTGATTATTTTTTCCGAATATTCTTCGATTCCAGTATTCTTGATTTTTCGCTTTCTATTAAATGATTCTTCACTTTCTCTACTTTCTTTAATGTTTTATTTAAAAAATCTAGCGATTCGTGATTGCAACTCGATTATTTTTTCCGAATATTCTTCGATTCCAGTATTCTTGGTTTTTCGTATTGTGCACTGTTAAATGATTCTTCACTTTCTCTACTTTCTTTATTGTTTTCTTTCAAAAATCTAGTGATTCGAGTTTGCCACGCGATTATTTTTTGCGAATATTCTTCGATTGAAGTATTCTTGATTTTTCGCTTTGGGCACTATTAAATGATTCTTCACTTTCTCTACTTTCTTTAATGTTTTCTTTTAAAAATCTGGCAATTCGAGTTTTTCATTTGATTATTTTTTCCGAATATTCTTCGATTGCAGTATTCTTCATTTTTCGCTTTGTGCACTATTAAATAATTCTTCACTTTCTCTGCTTTCTTTAATGTTTTCTTTTAAAAGTCTGCCGATTCGAAATTCCCACTTGATTATTTTTTCCGAATAATCCTCGATTCCAGTAGTTTCAGTTTCTATTTTATCACTATGCTTGGTTAAAAACTTAAAGTGTCAAGTGAGATTAAGAGAAAAAAAATAAAGAACCTACATTTTCTTCTTACTCAGTTTTTTCAATGCACTGATTGCATTCCATATTAAGAGTTAGGAATTCACGAAACAAACCAACTAAATTGAATAAATTGAACATTTATTCAGTGTGCTCATAATACTCATGAAGTCTACTAATGTAACTGGCCATTATACATAATCAGCACTTTATTATCATCTCAGAAATAAAATTTTCAGTTTTGGCAATTCTTGAGTTAAGTTTTGTGAGTTTTGAGATTCATTTCGTCTTGAAATCAAATGATTTTGAAGAACAGCAAACTCTTGAATTAAGAAGAAAATGTATTCATCGCAGTGCATTTTGGGAGATTGTTAAGTATAATAAAGTCTAGATGATTGAAAATAACAAGCTGAGACAAGCCGACCGTTTTGTATGAGGGTTAAGGAGTTAACCTCGAACCACGAAGATCACGGGTTCGATTCCCGCTACGGGCAAGGGTTTAATTTATCTCACTCTTCCATCTGTCCTTATATTGTTTAGGTGATATTGATCCACCTATAAAATGCCCATGAAGAAATAATTATTAGAAAAGTTAGATACATTTAGCGCAACGGAGTTTTTCTTTTTTTTATTTTTTAAGAATGACAAAATTTGCTTCCTCGAAAAAGTGATGACAGTTATTTCGTCTTTTTTTGCTCGGAATATGTGCCAGGAAGCGGTGTCGTCAAAACCAAATAAAATTTCACGAAATTTGAGTATCCATTTTTTACAGTGTACATTCAATTAATCTCCCAAAATAGTTATTTTCTCTATTTCTTAATTTCAGGTGAAGCATTTCAAGAAGAAATACAATCACATTCACCAAAACCATCAAATGATCCAGAAGACATCAGTTTTTATACAACAGCCGCTCTCCCACCAGATGACCTGGAATCATCAGATGAATCTACCAAAAAAGAAACTCCGCCCACCACACCTTCCACAGAATCTGAAGGCTACACCCCATTTCATAAGTATGCCCCATTATCGATCCCGTTATAAAAATAAATATCGATTATTAAATTACATTATTATTTCTGTCTTTTAGAACACCCCCATCCCCCCTAAAATGCTAGTTTGACTTTAAATCCAATAACGTAATAAATTGAAAAAATAAAGACAACCAATCTTTAAAGAGATTAGGAGAAGAAAAAGTGCTGATTGATTTTTTTAGAAAATAGATTCTGAAAGTAATAAAAATAAATTATATTATTCTTCTGTGCATTCTAGGGTAACGCCAGCATAAGATTAGCAAATTCTTAAAATTTTAAAATAGTTCTACTTAAACTACTTATAACACTCCGTTCAAATAGTATTAAAGTAATGAATCTAGTTCTAATTTAATATATTTAATCTCTTAGCATTTTCAGTTGATTTTTACATTGCTATTACTTAAAACATCTTCAATTCTTAAGAAGATGCTATACCATGGCATATTTTATAACCGTCGTTGAACAGCCGACCCAATTTTTGGGGGGGTTACGTAGTCTTGCAATTTTGAACCCAATCCAGAAGAAACTCCTGGATCAAGTATTGGGAGAAATTTGCCTTAGCGGATGGCTTTTTGATGGAACTAACCCGCATTTACGTTACATGGAGATGAAGACCACGAGACCACTCATGGTTAGCCTGATGGCAAGAGGACTCTAACCCATGATCCGTCTACCACTGAGGATATTTCAAGTCAGCACTGTGGTTGGTACAAGCCGGATGCGGAATTCGTATCGACGAGCCATCGTCGGGATCGAACCCCGGTTCAACCCTTTGAAAGGCGAACGCTCTATCCCCTGAGCCATTGCGGCTCATACCATGGCATATTATATTTACCCTCCATTTGAGCTCATGTAAATTTAGAGTGAACCATGAAACTTTCAAACGCTGAATAAATGTTTTCAAAATAGCGAAATGCGAACAAATTATCTCAGGATTACTTTCCGACATAAAACATCTCGTTTGTTTAACTTTTAAAAAGACGCTATACCATGTCATATTCCATTTCTCGTTCATTAGTTTATAGAAATTTAAATTTCTGAAAAGGGAATTCGTGCAAATCTAAACTATGAAGTTTCAAAAGCTGAAAAAGTTTTTCAAAATATCAGAATGCGAAAAAATTGCTACAGGATTACTTTTTCACTAAAACCTCTTGAGTAATTCTGTCATAATTGACTTGCATTGTGATAATTGAACATCAAGAGGAAGAATTGTTTAGAACCATTTACACAAAAATGACGATTGTATTTCCGATGATTTTACTCTGTTGCATTTTGAGGTTTACTAAGCTTTGAGAAAATCAATCAAGGATCAAATCGGTTCTCCCTGAGAGTTATTACTCAATTAAGATAATCCGTGCAGGGGATTATGGCTCCTGTCCACGCATAAACAAGGAGAACAAAAAAAGGAGAAAAAAATAGTGAAGAAAAAAAATAATAATACGAGTGAGAAAGTATTGTTTAATTTTCAGGTTTCAAATTTGTGATTTTCAGGAAAATACAATTTTTTCCCTACCCAATTATTATTTTTTTTCAATATCAAAAATTTTTGAATGTGTTTTTAAATTTTAAGGGATGTAAATACTTGTGACATTCGTATATACTTACAAATTCAGTCGCATGCCTACAGGATTGCTTCTGAAATTTCTCAAACCTTGGAATTCATTTTTCTCAAAATCAGCTTTCATGAACACGAACAGTTTTCCCCCCTTCAACAAGCTTCATGGCTCATCATTTGAAACTTCATGGTTTATTTTAAGTTTACTTATACTCACTTCTTTAACACTTTAAATTATTTATTCAGGGGAAAGAGAATCCACCATGAAGGATTTCTTTCACAATATAGCGTCCTTTTAACAAACCAAGTCGAATAGGCGGACAGACATCAATCGTTGGTGCTTAGCCGAGATTTGATACAAGTTATAGAAACATTCAAAATAGTGGCTTTTTTTCGTTACGCTGGTTTTTAAATTATAAAGTAAATGAGTATTGTGCAAACTGATGATGTTTTTAAAACTTAAATTGAAACAAACAAATTTCTTGAACGAAGACTCAAAATTTCTGAAAGCTTATTTTTAAATTCAAACGGCTTAATCGTCTACTGTGCATATGAATTATTCAAATTCCATGATTTATGTAAGCATAATTAGACCTTAAAATTGTGCATTACAATTGCTCATGTGACAAAGATACATCAAGAACAGCACAAACATGCGAAAAAAAATATATTTAAAAAGATTAAAGATTAGGTACATTAAAAAGTATTAATACTTCTGCGCCAGAATTTTTTCTATTTCTCTTCCTATTGAATAAGCATTAACGTACTATGTAACGGTTACAAAGAACACACCAAAGGTTATAAGTCCCTTAACGGTTTTTTTTTAAATATATTACTACAGTTCATTTTTAAAGTTTGGCAAAACAGAATTAAATTAACTTTTTAGACTTTTCTAATGATGCAAATTATTTAAAGCCAAAAGTCGATTTTGAAGCTTACTGAAATACAGTATTGATAAAACTGTTAGAATTTTTTTTTTCAATAATTTCGAAATAACAAAACAAGAATTCATTATATTCTAAGAATATTTTATTAACATTTCTGTGCTATATGACCATTTTAATAATTCGTAGAACCTGTTGCCGTGTTGTATAATAAGATACTATAAGATTATATGTATATTATTAACGTTTATTACTTGTAGTTAGCCCTATTCAGGGAATTACAAGTATCACTGGAAAAATTTTATCAAATCTAGTACTGTAGAAACTTTGTAGTAAAATTCTGTTAAATGCATTCTGGTCCTGTTATAAATTTACAGATATTCCCTAAATATGTTAATCTTTCTCACTCCCGAAACCCTCTATTTCTCATGCCCGTGATATTTCCGGGCTGGAGTGCTCAAAATTAATGAGCCAAAAGGATTAAAACAATATATTTCTTATGCCTAGAATCATGTTTATTTCTCTATTTAAATACCAGATAGCTATATCAAATTATTCAAAATGCGCTTAGAAATAGTTAATTTTAACTGGAACTTATCTTATATTAACTCAAAAATTCAAAATAGCTGCATATATCGTACATTCATTTAGTTTTATATAATTTTCTCGAATAAAAATAGGCACTTTTATGATCGTTTTCTTCAGAATTATGTGACCAATAAAGAACTTTTTTAAAAATAGCTTGTGGCTTTCGAAAGCATTATTAAAGAGAAAAATCTCCTTTTTTAAATTTGGCCAGTATTGTACAACTGAGGATTTTTTTTAAAGTATTTAATAACCAAATTTGTTAAATTTCGAAATCAAATTTTATGTGACTCAATCGTCACCGACTTAACCCATTTTACCCAAAGAATAAAACTTTATCAATTAATAAAAAACCGTTACATAAGATTTACGTAAATGAATTATGAATGCTGTTGACATTTTCAAAATCATAATTCTCCAATAAAAATATGTTAGAATAATATAATAAATCATTTCTTAGAGAATAAATCATTATATTGCAGTTAAAATTAAATGTTTCTCAGAGCTTTTATAAGATATCCATTCAACCTTCGTATAAGCATTAAAAAGATATTAAATGTTTCCTCTACAGACCTCATCATGACACAAGTGGCACTCCTGACTCCGATCGAACAAGTGACATCACCCCTTTGTTCGATCCCTCCCCAGAGCCCTTATCGAGTTTACAAGAACCTCAGACAGTCATCGAGATTCGAAGTGAAGCTACCTCGGAGGAAATTTTATCAACAGGAAACGATTACGATGACGATGAAATGTATAAAATGGATGATGAAGATAGGTGAGTATCTATTATATTTAATTAAAGAATCGATCTTTTGTTCAAAATGAACTTTAATTGAAGGTTTTTAGCTTGATTATTTCTTTTTTTCTTTTTTTTTCAGTGCACTAACTCGAATGTTCTTTCAAAATCAAAATTAAGGGAACTTTTTCACCTCTATAATATGACATAAAATGACATAATTTCCATTTTTGAAACAGATTCTTTTTTCAAGAAATGAAAAAAGATAACTCATTTGGAAAAACAATACATTACTGTCCTTCATAATACAATAATGATAATAATACATTAATAATAATATATTAATAATAACAATAATAATAATAATAATAATAATATATTAATAATAATAATATTATATTAATAATAATAATAATATTAATATATAAATAATAATATACTTATAATTACATATTAATAATTATTAAATATTAATAATCATGTGACAACTATTTTTGTAAAAACTGAGATGATAGATAACACTTGAAAATATTTTCTTAATTTAGGAGCAAACATCTTGCTTAGTTTTTCATTTCCGCAGAATAATGTACTTTTTCCGTCCTCATGACAGGGAATTAATGCTCAACTTCTGACATACTAAATCTGACTCCAGACATATTAACTCATCTCTATGCTATTGAGTATTATTTCAGTCATATTAACGCTTATTTTCAGATAAATGATATTAATTCTGCCTTTATCTTGCATTGCGCACATTAAAGTATTCTGCCCTGATTTGTCACCTTCAGCCTCCACTCACACCTCGGCTACCACGGTTTCTCTTGCTTTGCTTTTACAAGCATTATTTTTACTATTTTTGAATAGCAAATATGCATATCCTTTCTTTCTAACCTATTTCTTTTATCATTGACTTGAACTAGGGACTTGGAATATGTCGATCATTTTCAATTTAACTTTGGAAAACATAACTCTTATTATTAAGTAATACTTTAAGCACTTGGATGTTTTCGTATTTAAAAAAAGGTTTAGATCTGTGATAAACTAATTACTCTGGCATATAAAAGAATAGATACTACAACACTATATGATCTAAGCAATTAAAATACACAACTTTCAAAAACACAAATATTAATGAATTGAATATAATATTAATGAACGTAATACAAAAAAAACTAGGATTACTTTATAAATAACACCATATTACATCCAAAACCGATAGATTAATTGGTGAATAAATCCTTCGATATTATTGACAAAAATCAACAATGAATAACACATTAATGGATAGAAAAGATAAAAATAAGATTAAAAATATAAGCGACTTTATGCTTTATACCATATTACATCCTATAACCTTTGATTGATTTCTGAATAAAACCTTTTATATTATTGAGAAAAGATAAACAATGAAATAAAAGATTTAAAAAAATAGGCCATTTTATGCATAATACCTTATTACTTCCTAAAACCTTTGATTGATTGCTGAATAAAACCTTCGATATTAATGAGAAAAGATCAATAATGTATTGCATATCAATGGGTATATATATATAAAACCTTAAAAGTGAGCTTAACTGAACTCAAAATACTGAACTGTTATTTTTAAACAAGCTTGCAAATTATAATAATTTTAGATAATGGTGCAAATTAGAAAGTATTGAATGAGCCGTCACCATAAATTATTTATAAATATACTCACGTAACAAACCTTTTAAGTTATATTTCAATAATTATACTTAAATAAGTAATAACTCGTTAGAACATGGAATTAATTTCTACTTGCGTTTTTTAAGATTTCTATCTTATACTTTCAGTCCTCTAAGAACAAAATGCAATCAGTTTTTAATGTTGGAACCACGATAAAAAAAATTGTATTTGTAATCAATAGAATAATACTGATAACATTATATTCCATTAATCAATCTTTTACCACTTTAACGTAAAAGCGTACCAAAAAAATCTTTTAATTCTACATAGCGAAATCATGTAGAAAAAAAAATTATTTTATTCTACATGACAACAAAAATAATACAATTTACTTTAAATAGCAAGATGTTTTATTCTATATAGCATAAATTTAATTCTACATAGTATGAAACCCTTTATAAATGTAATTAGATGTTTTTTTGTTAGTTTTCCTAAAGGAAGTGGCAGTCGAAGTGACCGTGGCGGTTCGGAATCATCCGAAAGTTCCAGTGTGCTATCAGGACTTCAAGAATTTGAAAGCGCCAAGTTAGGAGCTACAATGGATCCTAACCGCTTACAAATGGGTTCCTACCCGCCATTGGATATTCGAAAAACCGGCGATGAACTATCAACAGTTTCCGAAGTTTCTGAAGAGAGTAGTAAAAATGGAGTTGTGCGTGTACGAAGGTTAGTGTTTTGGTCCAATTTATTTCTTATCTTTTTGGTTTAATTTTTTTTGGTATCTTTGGTTCAATTGCAAGAAGAAGAAAAAAGAAAGAAATATTTTACATAGCATAAAGCTCTTATTCTACAAAGCAAGAAAAGTTTTTTTAACCGTTTCCCTCTCGATCCCTCAAAATCACGTGATGAGCTATCGTCTCCTGTTTCTCGAGTCCACGACATTTCGCGCTAGAATGCTTAAAAGTAATATACCAAGATGGTTTGAATATATATATAACTGTTGCGCTCGGAATTTTTTATTTATTATTTTACACTCTAGATGGCGGCAGAGTACTTTTAATGTAACTGGAGATAGTTTATTTTAAACTAGATGTCAGCACTATCCAAATATATGTATCTGCGATATGTATTTCATATTCTTAGCTCAGCTACTTAAGCTCCTTATAAATGCAAGTAATTTGTGTTCTGTGAGAAAATATTTTTTAAGAATGTGTACATAAGAAGTTTTAAATTTTAAGCTAAAAACAAATTCCAAAAATCAAAAATGAATACATATATTGTACATGCATCTATTTTTATTTAATTTTCTTGAATAAAATTTTTATGACCGTTTTCGTGAAAATAATATGATCGTTAAAGGGTTAATCGAGTCGAATGTTTTTTTTTTATTTTATAATTTTTTATATTTTATAACGGTAGTTGAACAGCCGACCCAATTTTGGATTTACAACTACTTATGTTCAACGCCGTAGCCTTGTAATTTTGAACCGATGTAGAAGAGAAGGAAACTCCTGGATCAGGAACCCCAGAGGTATGATTTTTTTATGGGAAGATAGAGAACTTTGTGACTCAACAGATTTAACGTGCATCAGTCAGCATTTACTACACGGGGAGTCTTCGACCGGCGGGGATCGAACCCACGACCTCTTGGACATGGGCCCAGTGCCCTACCAACGAGGCTATCCCGGCCCTGAGTCGAATGGTCTATAGAATTTCACTGTAAAAAATTTTAGTGTGTCTCAATACCAAAAATGGTGACAACTTCTTTATACAAAGATAGTGTGGGGAAACGCAATACATTTTTCTTGGACCATGGAGCTAAATGTTTCATATCACCCATATGGATGTATGGACACTACTTGTGTGAAGTAGCCTCCATCATTTTTATTATTCAGTTGCACTATCATGTATATTAGTAAGATATGATACACATAAAAGTCAGTAAAGCTATTTTTATGATATGCTATAAAGCAAGAATTATTAATTTGGGATGCATCTATGCAATATTTCTAAAAATAAAATTAGTTTGTTAATCAAACATTCGCGCAGCACAATGAGAATATAAATTCCAACTAGGCCTACCAAACACTAAAGTGGGTAGAAATTAAATGTTTTAAAATTACTTAACGCAATTGACATAGTTATATAAATCTTTTTATAAGAATATATTATGAATATATATTAGGAATATATTAAGAATATATATTTATAAGAAGAATATAAGAATTCAACCAAAAACATACAAGACTTTTATAAGAGTACTCTACTGTTTCTATGGAATGTTCAGTGTTGTGCGAGGCGAAAACTCGTGTTTGAATTGTAAACAAACTATGTATGTCTTCTAACGATTTGCAAACGTACGCCGAAATTGGTGAAAATAATTATTGATTGGAATAAATGCAATCGATCTTAGTGTAAGCTTTCTCGTATATTAGAATTAAGATTTAGCTACACTTTTTAAAATATGTGTGACCCCTCGAACATAAAGTAACACTTATTTTTAGATTTTTAACACCAAATTCAAATAGGTATAAGACGACAGTTTTTATAGTGTACACTACGTTAGCTATTAGAAAAATCGGCGATGAACTATCAACAGTTTCCTAAGTTTTAGAAGAGATTATTAAGAATAGAGCTGATGGCTAAGTTGTTAACGTTAAGTTTAACGATAAGTTTTGTAAAGCAGTAAAATAGAGCTGAAAGGTAAGAGTTTAGCTTCAATTTGTTACTTATAATATTCATAACTATAAATTATACTGTAAGTTACAAGCTTGCTTCGCGGCTCCAACAAGAAGATTAAAATTATTTGATGATGGCTCAGGGGACAGATAGCGTTCACCTTCTAATGAGGTGAACCGGGTTTGAATCCCACTGATGGCTGGTCGATACAAATCCGACCATAGTGCTGACGTGAAACATCCTCAGGGGTAGACGAATCATGTATTAGACTCCTTTTGCCGTCAGGCTAACCGTGAGAGGTTCTCGTGGTTTTCCTTTCCATGTAATGCAAATGCGGGTTAGTTCAATCAAAAAGTCCCCCACGAAGGCAAATTTTTCCAATACTTGATCCAAGAGTTCAATGATCTTCTGGATTGGGTTCAAAATTACAACGATACGGAATTGAACATTAGTAGTCGTAAACCCTAAAATTGGGTCAGCTGTTCAACGACTGTTATTAGATAAAATAAAATCAATCAGCAAAAACAAGCTGAATGTATTAAATAGGTATTAAATTTGGTATCAAATGAGAAATTTGGTATAAAATAGGATACGTCCAGTTTTTCATCTAAATCAGACTAGAAGAACTCATATTTAACCAGTGTTCTTCATGTAGACAAACCGTCATATTGTCAATATATTAATACAGCACAATCATTTGCTTCAAACTTCTAATAATAGTCCAAAAGCATTTGAAACATTAACATGCATTCAAAACACGCCCTACCATTATTTCATTAAGAAAATAATAATTTTATTGTTTAAATATACTCTTATTATTCAAAAATTTTACGGAGCTCCAAAAATCACAACCTCTTTCATCAACAAGCTGATATCAATGTAAGCTTTATATTTTATTGGTGTTAAGGTTTAACTACACCTTTTGAAGTGAATAACTCAACATAAAGTAATCATTCATACAATTTTTAGAGTTTTTAAACAGAAAATTCGGATAAGTACACCACAGTGTTTACGATGTAATAAACTAAATCCGCTTTTAACTACTTTGAATTTTCAAAAATAAATTTTATTTTATTAAGTTTTAAAATTTTATTTTAGTGTTCCATTAGCAAAAGAAGAAAAATAGTTGTCGAGTCATTTTTCCCGGAATCATTCGTGAGGCACTTATGTGGTTTTATGAATTGCACGGCAGAAATATGTTCTGAAATAAAATATTTTTACCAAGTTGCTGAAAATTCATTACAAAAGTAATTAAAGATAACTTCCCTTATACTGAAATCACCGATAAATTGTTCATGATACATTGTAACAAAACTTATTCTCTCTCTACTATCTAAAGTAGCATTCTTGCAACTACACTGTTAAAAATTTTGAAAGTTTTTGAACTACAAAAACGTTCAAATTTCCTATTGAACCATGTAGTCATAAGTTAATCTTTCTAAAAGCAGTGGAGTCATCCCCTCAGCAAAGGACCAAAATTGCGTTGGCATGTCTTCAATTCATCCTCAGGGATGTTTCCCAGACAGTCGAAATTACCCTATTGTGCAGCTCTAGTGAGACGTAAATAAAGTACCAACCTACCTACACAATTTTTCTACTCCTGATTTCTGGGACGCGATGGCTCAGTGGTTAAGTCACTGAACTGACATTGTAGGGAACTCGGATTCGATTCCCAGTGACAACCCCGAAACCCACTCAGCTTCAGATCGATGAGTACCAGTCTGTCCGAGAAGTTAATGCTGCCTGTCTGCAGTGCTACCCACATTGTCACAATAAAATCGTTGGTCACGAAACTGGGGAACCTTAACCTCCACGACCCCTTGACCTACAACGGGCTGTTGTGGAAATGTTTTATTGCTTTTTGCATCTGATAACTATACTATAAAAGCATGACTCTCATTATCACATAATTTAGAACGCAGCAATTTTGAATTATAACTAACGTAGTTCAAAGAAACGATATTACTGCTCAACGTTCATCGATTTTTATGTACGTATAGACTGACCGATTTCAAAAGTATGACTTTGTTACACCAAAGTGCCCTTGAATTTAAAACTTGCTGTTAATAATTTCACTAAAACTAATGGGGTAAAAATGTCCGCACTAAATTTCAAGGAGAACGTTGAGACGTTAAGCAAAAACAAATACTAAACTTAAATAACTTTTATGTAAATATTAACTAAGTTAAAGTCATCAGAGCGTTAATCAAAATTGAACTTTTTTTTCTCTTATGATAGACGGAAAATAGTACCCGCAGAAAACTATATGCATGAAATAATTAAATTTATAATATAATATCGTATAACTTAAAAAATTAAATGAAAAGATAGCACCTTTTCAACCGTCTAAACTACGTTAAAAATTGATTAGCTGCACTTCAAAATTATTTGTTTATTTTTCTGAAATATAAATTGCGCATCAAGTACGTAATGAAAATAACGTTTAAGTTAAATACTACAATATCGCATGTTCCTTTACTTCATTAACTACGACTCTGTATATTTTATTAGTTAACGTTTATTAGATAGTTGAAATAGTTTGTTTCAAAATAAAGTTTTTTTCATGTTCAGGTTGATTCTAAATTGATAAGACAAACGTGGGTGGAGGGATAGTAACCATAAGGATTAAAAACAGGAAATGTCATCATTATTAGGAACTGTATATACGTTTGCCTTTAAAGATATATGTACTTTGAACATGCATCTAAATTATCTTAATTATAATACTTTCTAATAGTTATGGCCAAGAACTGCATTTAAATTTGTTCAGTATTAACTGTTTTATCTTGGTTTAAAGATTCGGCGACATGCTCCCCAAGTCATTAAATTATGATAAAACAGTTATTTCTGTGGTATTTGAATTAAATTTCTGACAATAATAAATGTTAAACATAAATATGAAACATAAAACTTACACCAAATTAAGATAATTTAAATAAATAAAAATACCATATCAAAGGTACACGTAGTAACAGAAAGTTTATCCTATGATTTTAGAAGCATCCTGTATGCTCTTAGAAACTTTTACTTGTAACTTAAACTTGTGT